AATTTAGAATTAGCCAGCTGGACTCAGTTTAGATAATTGCAATTTTGTTGATAACATCATTGTCAGGAGTCAGTCCAACATATGCCTCCTTCTCACTTTGGGTCCAATCAGGATGTTGACGTTGGTCAGTTAATATCATGGACCTTTTTCATGCCCTGTTTGATCCTGTGCTTGTTGGTCTTGACATTCACAAGTGTGTTGCTGTCTTCTGTCTTCTTTGTGGCTGACACAGGAGGAAGGGGGAAGTTAATAGTGGTCAAGCTTGTTTCTCCTTGAGGTGCTCTTCCAAGGGTATTTGCACCACCTTCAGTCAAGTGTCTTGAGCAGCCAGAATGGTGGCTGTCATTTGGATCTTTTTGTGTATGGCTACAAGTACCTGTGAACATGGCTTTCTTGGTCTTCAAAGCTTGGGCTTGGACTTTGTCTTTGGGAAGCTCAGGTACTTCCTTTTTCATTGTTGCACCAACTTGATGAAAAGACAAAAATTATTCCTTCATCTTTTCACACTGTCTCCAACTTTTCCCTGAATCCTGTTGGTCCAGTTTTTAAGTCTGCTGCAAATCTGATGAACTCCCATCAGACATGTATCCTGTTAATTGACCCAAGGCATCTTTCTCTATCATTTGCATCATAGAAGCTACTTCCTCGCTGGCCTCCTTGGTTCTGTGCTTGTCCACTTTAGCACTACATTTACAAAGTAATTCCAGGGGTCCTTTTATAACCTGAGTTGGGTCATATTACTTTTCTGTTCAAAGACCAGCAGCAATTCCCCATTTTAATCTCATTCAAGTGAGAAGTCATTCTTAGCTGCAAAATTTTGTGTTCCTAAATCTTTATAAAATACAATACCCATTTCTGTTTTCAAAAATCCTGGGTAAGCTGAGGACACAGAGAATTCCCAAACCAGATAATCTAACTATTAGAAACAACTTCATATATATAACTTGTCCTAGTGAAATATTAAAAACATTTCTAGTAAAAGTCATTCAAAAAAATCATTCAAAAAATTAAGAACAGAACAGTAATAAAAATATTGTGACGTATCTGGTAATTGAAGCCTTCCCAGCAAGTTGGAGGATGTGGTGAGCGATGTGGTGTGGAGAGATCACAGGTCCTACCCCCTCCAGGAACCTGCAGCACAGTGAGTCCTCCTCTTTCCATCCTTTGGTAGTCAGGTCTCTGGAATGTGGCTTAAGTTGGGTCACAGGGTCCTTTCCCCAGAAGTTTGGAGCACAAAGGAAGGAACCGTCCAAATGTTGAAACTTTCCATATGATTCTACAGTCTACTGCAGTAGTATTCCATTCCAAAAATCACTTCTTTTTTGCTTAAAACAGAGTTAATTTTTGTTACTTGGAATCAAGAACCTGGGCTGGTACACTGAGGCTTCCACATAGAAGCAATTTAAAGCCTTTTTCCTAGCTACACACTGCCTAGCATGCATTTCTTGTGGTAATCCACTCACTCATTACCTTACCCAACTCTGCTTGGGAACTGAGAATGCAAAAATGCTAAAGGTGTAGTCAGTGAACTTTCAGGTTAGTTGAGGTGGGGTGTGGAAGCCCTTACTGAAATCAATCCAGTAGTCAAAACCTGGGTCAAAACCAAAGTACGTTAGTGTATTTAACTCATGTGTCAATAAGCCACTTGAAGAACCAAAAGAAGTTTAGATTCTGGTTACCATTCTTATTAAAAATGTGATAAAATTCTAAGACAGAGGGTTATTGAAGAATGTTGCCACCAGCATGACCAGCCTAGGATTGCACTGTGTGCTCTGAAATTCAAAGCCCAAACTGCTTTTAACCCATTAAAACGGTTACTTGGAGTTTTGAACAAGAACTTTTAGATGATTTATGGAAGCAGTTAATAATGGTTTGGATAATGAACCCATTTTAAGATGTGATGCATACTTTCTCCAAGAAATGTACATTTCCAGGAATCCTGTGAACACTGACCATCATAGCCAAGGTTAGTCCCCTGTTAAGAATCTTTTTTATATGAGAGCTAACTAAAACCTCAGAACTTAAATTCAATTCAGTTTCAAAGGTCAGTATAATTCAAATATAGGTTTAGAATTCACAAATTACTCATTTTACTTCCCAGGGAGAGGTTGATCCATTCAGAGATACACGTAGTTTACAGAAACAAAGTGAAATCCCAAACTGAGAGTCAGTAAAGCCAAATCAAATCTCCTTTGTTCTCCAGTTAACCCTGAAGGCACCTTCTGCTTGTTTTAGAGCAGTGGGCATATCCTGTTGGAACATAAACTCTGTCATTTACCAGGTGAGTAACTTCGAATTTCCTTAGCTACAAAATGGGTATAACAATGGTATTGACCTCATGGGGTTGAGGTGAAAGTTAAATGAGATGATGAATGTGAAGGGTATTACCAGTACCTGATGCATAATGAATGTTCCTGTTTGTTACTTATAGGTGGTTTTCCTGGTTAGGACTTAATAGAAGATTACACAAAGATCTTGCCTTTGCAATGTGACTTTAAAATTTATGAAAGAGACCAATTCCAGGCAAAGATGGGCCAACTGAACCAGGGCTTCAGAATCTCCCTCATGTGAAATATAACAAAATTAAGAAAATGTAGGGAAGAAGCAGTCAAAACACACACACACACACACACACACACACACAC